TACTGTATTGATATTGTAAGGAGAAATTCTGTCTTTGTCAGTTATGAGAGTAAGAGGGTTTTAAAAGAGACTAAAAGATTTGTTCAATAAAAGTGTTTGGACACAAATTCTAATCACCTGCTTTTTCAAAAAAGTTTGTACAGGTCAAAAGCATTCTTTCAAAAATGTGGAAAGTTACATTTTAATTCTAAAAACCTGCAAAAATCATGGAATGTGAAGGTGTTGGGAAAAAAAAAAAAAAAAACCAGAGGAAGTCTCATTCGTCATGTTTTTTCGTAGCTGCAACAAGTGGAAATCTTTGTGAGGTTTCCTTGCCTCCTCTTCCCATTCTTTTTGCCTGTGGGATTTATTTCTTATCTCTGATTTATTTTCTGTTATTTGTGTGTGCTGAGTTCCACTGATTTCATGAATCTTGCTTTAAAAAAGGTTAACAGGTGTCCTTAAACTGGCCAGGAACCTTCTCAAGGATATATGGTACATTGATTACATGTGACTACACTTCCTTAGATATTTTACTGTTGTTTCAAGGCATGGGTTGAAAGAAGGAGGGGAAAATCATTCAATTTGAGATAGGTTATGGGGTTTTTTTTAAGGGTTGCCTCATACCCTCACCTTGAGGCAGTCTCTCTGGTAAATTGGTAAATCCGGACTGATATTGAAAAGGCCACACCCCTTCGCCATAGCTTTCAAGTTGTGTCTAACAATTGAGGCCAAATGTATCTCAACACAAAGTTGAATTCGGTTTACAAAATTTATTGTACAGTCTTGACAAATTTGGAAGTCTGGCTCCATTTGTTAACCCTCTAACTCCCAGATCAAATTTGTAATTCTCCTAAATGTCAAACATACAATTCCTATAATGTTAGTTCAGAGAAATTAGTATTGGATCAACTTATCCCCATTGTGATATTTTTCTTTATTCTCATCACTTTTGTGGTGGACATTGTATTGATGTTGTAAGGAGAAATTCTGTCTTGGTCACTCATGGGAGTTAAAGGGTTAACAATAACTGGTAAGTTAAAATCTCAACTGGGTAAGTCTGATGCTTCATCAGATTTTGAATGCAAACTCTACAACATTTATTATATTGAACAAGTAACAGGCCTTCTGTCTGAAAGCAAGATGATTTTATTTACAATTTGGTCTCATTTTTTCAATATTTTGCCCAAAGTGTGAAACTACTTGAACCGGTTCGCTTTAATAAAAAAAAATGGCAGAGAACACGAGAAATGAAAAAAAATCAAAAAAAGAATTGTAGAAAACACAAGAAATGAAAGAGAGAAAACCTGGCATTCTACCAGGTAATCGGTAATGTATACATCCATCTAATCCGATTAAAATCTCACACAAAACTCCAAGCGATCAAAACATACAGAAGCATGGAGAGAATTTAGGATCGAAACTAACCAATCATAAAATGAAAAAGTTTCCTGAGAGGTCCGAGGTTTGATTGTTTTCTCTGCGGGAAGATTTGTGTTTTTTACTTCAATGTTATTGGTTTGTTTATTAAAAAAAAAAAAAGATTGACATCGTTTGTTCTCAATAAACATGTTCATTGGTTCATTTTTCTTCATTTCGATCCGGTTCAAATAATCTCGCTGCTCTGAGCGCTTCACAGAGTAAGTTTGCTTTCATTCACGATTTGAGTTGTTGGGCTGTAATTATCACTGAGCTGGTTACCTCACAGTTATTTTGAATAGTAAGTGGTTCTAATAATTTCTTTTTAGTTTTTAATTGGAATTGCTGAGGCCTAAAGAATTAGCTTACACTTAGACTGACTATTGCTTAATAAATTACGTGCCTTTTGCTCACCTGCTTTTGTGATGTTATTTGCTTTGAGGAATAACGTGCGAAGCTGACAGTTGTTGTTGTTGATGGCTTCAGCCAAGTGCTGTGCTCCAATGTCTGAGATTTTATTGAATGAGAGGTCTAACGTGCGTAGCTGACAGTTGTTGTTGTTGATGGCTTCAGCCAAGTGCTGTGCTCCAATGTCTGAGACTTTATTTAATGAGAGGTTTAACATGCGTAGCTGACAGTTGTTGTTGTTGATGGCTTCAGCTAAATACTTTGCTGCTTCATCTGTCAATTGATTTCCTGTGAGGTTTAACCAGCTCAGTTGAGATTCCCTACATTTTAACAATTTACAAATCTCCAAACAACCTAATGGACCAATGTTATTGCCACTCAAATCTAAATGTGAAATTTGTTGAACATTAATTACATTTACTAACGAAGAGCAATCAACAGCTGTGAGGTGACAATTAATAAAATTTACACAATTAAAGTTAATTTGTTGAAGTTTTCTCTGTGCTTCTGACTTCATTCTACTATTTTCGTTTAAACATTTCATTAATGTCACTGCTAAATATTGTTCGTCTTTAGTCGGCCAGCAGGTCACTTTCGTTTTCTCTTCATTCTCTGTCCACTGTACGTTGTAGTACGCTTTCTTTTTCTTCAGTTTTCACAGGAAGAAGGTCTGTGATAATTTCGCTTGGTAGGTTATTTTTATTCTCCATTAATCCTGCTACAAACTGAAAAACCAGCTGCCATTTGCCTTTCCTAATGTTAATTTGAACAAAGTTTGTTAATTCTGTTTCACTCATGTTGTTAACCAGGTACTTTGCGGCGAAAAACTCCTGCATTGTTAGATGAATAAAACAGAACTGTCCTTCGCTACTAAACGAGTCAACTTCACGGTCGGGTAAGCGGTGAAATAGAGCGCTGTCTTCCATTCCGCGTACTTCGTTTGCTCCAAAGATCAGCCTTCCTTCTTTAATTCCTTCAAATGCCAATTTTTCTAGTTTCTCCAATTTTTTTTCTTCTTCGCGGGGCAATTCATCTGATTCAAAGTCTTTGCGAGTGAAATGTTCATCGCGAAATTCTTCGTTGTGTCTCAAGTAGAAAATTTTCACGGCTCTCTTGTATATGCCTGTTAAACTTGTTGGTAGGTTAAGACCTCTAGGAGCATGGAACTTCACCATTTTAAAGAGACTTGAGCAAATGATGAAGCAGCTCGCAGGAATGTAACATAGAGATAAGATATTGATGTTGCTGGTGATGTGACGCTTTACTGTGTCGCCTGCTTCCTTGTCTTCTTCAGCAAATTTGGTTACGTATTCTTCGACTTGTTCGGATGAGAAGCCAAGGATCTCAAGGATTTTGTCAAAACGAATACTTTCGGTGCATGACAGAGCTGTAGGTCTTGTTGTAGTTAAAACTGCTGCCCCTTTGAGAAGTATTCCAGTCGTTAGTTTGGCATAAAGAGCCGAGAGGGGCATCTTCTCGTCTACGCTGTTTTTGAATTGAGGTTTCTTATTTTCCGTGCCGATCTTTGAGTTATCTTTGAATTCATCAATTCCATCGAAAATAAGGAGAACTTTCTGCGGGTTTTCTAGGATGTAATTCCAGACTTCCTCATCCAGCTTGTTCCCGGGTGAGTATGTGGAGCAGGTCAGTAGCTCCCGAAGGCTAAGGTCGGTTGCAGCGTTGAATAATCTGAATTTGACAAAGAAAGCAGCATCAAAGTGGATTTTGTCATCGGGTGTTTTATGGAATACTTTGTTAGATGCCCAGTCTCTGAGAATTTTTGTACAACAAAGTGTCTTTCCGATACCGGGACGACCGACGATCAAAATGTTTTTGTTTTCGTGATTAAGAATGTCCTCTGGCCCTCTCGGTGTTTCGTTTTTAACACCCGACCTGGCGTAGATTTGCAAATTCTTCCGTCTGTCTTCAGTAAAGTCATAATCAGCCATGTTAGGTACAACAACAAGGTTAGTGTAAATCTGATCCAGAGTCAAATGTTTAGGTGGGTGTCCTTTGCCAGGAGGACTTGGAAAAAGCGACTGGAGTTGTGGAGGTTGATAAGTGTCGTCCATAATCATTTTCTTTGTGTTCTGGATGAATTCCTGAAGCGAAGATTTTACGAGTTGTTCAGGCCCGCTTGGCAGATGTGGGATGTTTGTTTCATGTTCTGTCCGTTCTTGGTGCTGAACTTCATGTGAGATGTTTACTACAAGTTGTATTCTTTCTTCTTGCTGCTGGGGTTCTTCGGGAGGATTTAGATGAGATGTTTGAAACTTAGAGTTTTGCATGAAATCCCTTTCTCTGTATGCCCTAAAAAAAATGTAGACGATTTCAATCAGAATACTAACGACGAAAGTTCCATTTAACACAAGGACAAAGTCCATCCAGAAGGTTTTCTTTGTCGCTCGTTGATTGTGACAGTCGTGCAAAGTAGAGTGTTGGGCGTTGTTAGATGAATTCCTTGGCTGAGTGGTTCCATCGGTTAAGTAACAGTGAAACTTAGAGGAAAACTTTGAAGGATAAAGCAACTGAGTTTGTAGGATGATGAAAACAACTCCTAAAACAAGTTTTATGGATAGTTGACCGCAGTAAGCGATAAAAAGCTTGTATCCCGTTGATAATGCGTTCTCTTGGTTGCGCGACTGTCTCTCTGGATCACCGTTACGAATGCTTCGCGACAGTCGATTGACTGTAGGTCTTACTATTTGGGAGTAGATAACACATACAAATATAATAAGGACGAAATTTATGATTACGAAGCCGTAGACAGGCAAAGCGAATTTGTTGTACTGCTCCTGGTATTTCTCGTAACATTTTCCCCGGACGAAGTCGATGTTTTTACTTTTCGCTGCGCCACAGCGGAAATCAAACCTTGGTTCGCTGTTTTCCATTTCGGCGAATATAACAAGGGGGATGACACCAATCAGGATCCAAAAAACCACTACCACATAGTGAATTTTGCCGAAAGTTTTTGGCTCCAAATAATCTAACAGTTTATCCACAGACATTTTGAGTGATTCTTTAACTTTCGTTTGAATACTGATTTTCTCCGGTTTAAATGAATTGCTAATTTGATCATAGCATATTTATGAGATGCAGAACTTTCGTTTGATTGGCTCTTTGAAAACTTTCAATTGTCAAAAGGGCGATGGCTCATGCAACGTTTACTTGTTTACATAAGAAACAGATATCAGACCACTAAATTAAGACGGATACAGATGTGTTATTTCAGAAGATGCACTTGACCTCCATCCATCCATTCGCCCCTATGTGCTCATTTTTACACACTTACCCTGTGGACTTCACTTAATTTTCAGCGCGGTTATTTTGCAGCTTGAAGCCTGCTAAATTCTAAGCTACCAAGTATCGCCATATTTTTGTGGTATTTACTTCAACAGAGATTTGTATTTCTTACTTAGAAGCTAAAACACCTAGGTGTGATGCAGGTCAGAGACTTTTTCCTTTAACACCAGTGGAAGACGTGATGAAAGAAACACATAGACTGTAGACTCTGTGCATTTAGGCTAATTATTTCATATTTTATGACATCACTTGGCATCGTGACAGGGTTTACCTTGCTGAAAAACATGTCCGGCAGATGGTGGATCAAGTAGGCTGTGTTGTTAGCAAGGCTACATTACAGACACAGTAATGACCTCTTTACACCTGGAGTTGCAGTGATGTGCACCTGCCTTAGGTGGTTTTCTTTCCTGGTGCATTTCGTTCTATGGATCTGATGTCTCTTTTCCAACACCTACTGCTGGATTTTTCAATGCATTAGGAAAAGCTTCCTGAGTGTGTGCACTTCACCCCCAATTGGACTCCTTGGAAACATTTTACCACAGACTCATTGGCAATGAATCAGTCAAGCAGTGTCCTGAAGACATGCTTCTACTCCAGCAAACTTTTCCACTCCTGTTTGACATAGTTAGCATTGTGGAGGGAGATCAGCTTCCTGAGGCCTTGACTGCATTTATTATTGACCTGTTGGAAAAAGTAAAGTCTCTGTTTGGCAGAAATGGATCAATACCAGATGCTGTGCAACTGGATGTACACCGCACAAGTGATGTAGAATACTATCCTTGCCTGCCTGTGGTAAGAAGTCGTGGTGACTATTGCCTGGATGACACAACTCCAAACATCTGCACAAAGAGGAGTACTCGACAACCATCCTTACTTCCTGGAGTTTTATTAGTGCACTGTAAACAAGGTACAATAATGTTATGAGTTTGTATTAACATTTGTATCAATTTCTACGATGAACAATATTACTTCTGATATAAAAAATGTAAATTTGAGTTCACTCTGACCTCCAACTAGCTTTTGTCACTCTTTGTATATTCCAGATTATCCTAACAAGCTCCGGGCTTATGCTCTGCCTGTGGTTTTAGTTATCAGGTTTAGGTTTTTCTCAACAAATGTCATTTTCTTGAAAGACCAAAACTGTTTATAATGCTTAGTTTTGAAAAGGATTACATCTGCAGCTGTCAAGTCAAAGAATGGCACAAATTAACTGACTAGCCTGTTTTTTTTTGTTTTGTTTTTTTTACTGTTTACTGACTAAATCAAAGTTTTTCTTGCAATTTATTGGCTAAATAGCACAATGACTTGTATAAATAAAGGTTGTTGATTTCTATTGACTAGTGATGTACCCCAGTTACACCCTCTCTTCAGCCTTCATTACATGTTCTTTCACAACATGCTTTCAGGCACTCAATGTAAGCAGTGTTGTTGTGATTATGTGTAAAATGGTTTTATATCCTCTCTTTTGATTTCCATTTTAGGTATAACTTATGGATTTAATGTAATGCTTTGCAACGAATCTCCTAACATCCCATTTACAGTGTTTCGAATGCGTTTCTCACGAGGTAAGCTCGATTTAATGTGCATGTGTTTGTTGTGGCCTTTGATTGGATGCCGTCGTGCGTTGAAGAAAATTTCTTTTTATTACCTGGGGTCGGTTTAAAGGACGAATAACGCCTTCCACTGGAAAAATCACCATCCAGTGGATAGCGTTGTATGTTATCACAACACTTAAAGGCGAATAGTGATTCATTCTGTGGATAGTGTTATCCACCCGTTGAACAACCAGGGCCTGGTTTTTTGGGAGTTTTTCTTCTCTTGATTTCCTCTATCAAAGTGATTTTATATTAAACGAATCATAATAAAAGTAGGTTCATTACAATTTTTCTGCCTTTTTTTTGACAGGTGCCCGTCTGGTTATCTACGACAACTCTTGCAATTTGCTTTCGTATTGTTTAAATCGGGATCCTGTCTTTTTCAAGAACTCTCAGTTCCTTGTGGATCGATTGCATTGGCGGGATCATACAGGTACGTAAATCACCCCAAAACTGGCTTTTTCGGTTTGGCCATCTTTAATCTTCGGTGTTCATTTAGCTATGCTCTTGGGTCTATCCCCTCTTACTAACCTAATGGCACATTACACACATTTATTGAAGCACATTCGACGTAATATGTTAATCTTAACTTTGTCAGTACCAATGCAAAGCAATCGAACATGTTTTTTTTCTTTTTCAGGTTGCTCTGAGGCTTACAACCTCTCCCGTTACCCTCAGTGGGACACCTTAAACAGTCAGGCAGCAGAACAAGCCTATTCAAGCTTGAAGTCTTTCAAAGGATTCTTGTCATACATAAACGAAAAGAACTTCATGACTCATTGTATATTTTTCATTTGGTATCGAAATTCGCTACGGCGTAAGCAGCTCGAGTCCCAAGGTGTAGCAATGTAATTTGCGATAAGTTTTATGGGATGAATAATTAATTCGACTGATTTGAACAGGTCGGCGGCCGCTGCATAACGAATTGTCTCTAGTTTGTCGATACATTTCAGGCTTTATCTTGAATGAGAATTGACCTTTATTTAAGTTTCTTTCAGTTCCTATTTATTAACAACTTTGGTTTTTAGCGTGGTAATACAGTGCGTCTTTAAATTAGTTTGAACAGGCCGGCCAATGCAAAACGGCCTGTCTTGTTTTATTTCGAACATTCCCGCCCTTTTCAATACCTTTCTCGTCTGCATCTTGAATGAGAATTAATCGTTTTGAAGTTTCTTTTAAGTTTGTTTCATTTGGCGACCGTTAATTGGGAATTTGAGGCTTCATCTCATAAAGTAATTGTTCTCTTGTTTTTCTTTATTTTCACATTTCGGTATTTTCTCGCGCAGCGTAGAAATGATTTGATGGTTTCTACTCTCTGTTTTCCTTTGATTTTTCCGTGTTTTATTTTTTGTTGTTGCCGTGAGCTAATTTTGGACACCTTTAGTTCATTTTATTTTATCGGGAATTTATCTTACTGCGTCTCAAGATCATTTGAGGTGCCGTGAGCAGATTTTGCAGTGTCACAAAAGTATTTAGTTTGGCCGTAGGCGATTTTAATTCAACACTGATGATCCACTAGAAACTGTACTTTTAATATTTTAGCCGCTTATTTACCAGAATGGAAAAAAATATTCTTAAGTGCAGTAAACAATTCATAACTGTGGGGCTCCGCTTTTAGGCTTGCCTAAATTTATATATTAACAAGACTAAATGATAGAAAATAGTTTCTTGCCTTTTGTTTCCCTTTCTTATCAAGATATTAGTAACACTTGACTGACTACAAGGCTGTTCCATTGCAATGTAAACGATTTTCTTAAGTCAGATAAAGTTTCAACTTTTTTGTTTGCGTAACGTAATCATTTGGGGTTATTTCGAGTAATTTAAAAATATTTATCAAATGAGTTGAGCCTTTTTTGTGTTGCGGTTTCGTTTAAATACCCTTCCAGTTTTGGTACAAATGCTTATGATGGATAGATTTACCGCATTAAGGAAACAAGGCTGCATAGAAAAGGTTCATCGTATCGGAAGTTTGAAGATGAGGAATTTTTCTCATTGGTTTAGAGAAGAGACCTGGTGTAGCACCTAATAATTATTTCATTTTGAATAACTTAAGACGTATAACCACCAACTACTGTATTGTTTTCTTTAAATTTATTCCTGTTATTGAGGATTTTAAATAACCAAACCACCGCACTATTTGTATCAAACATAAGAAAGTACACGATAAAATACGCGAAGTTAAGAGCGGACTGGATTCAATTTCCTGAAGCACCTAGATCAAAACTTTCGCCAGTTTGATATGTGGTGTGTCATGATGATGTAATAAAACCAACAATTATGTTTGGCAAAGTGAGCCTAAAACTATCAATGAAGTTGCTGCCGAAACACGACTACTTTGAAAGAAAATTGAAGCTCTAAAATAACTGAGATCCTCTTTTTCCATGATGAACTTGATTATGGTCTGAAAGATAAGAAGAAAAAGCGTTAACTTTTTAGGCAATTGTGGCTTAAAATAACTTCCGAAATAAAAAACGGTTTGCAGTGTACACCATCTGGAAATATAGCATACTGGAAACCTGTTAACCCAAAAAGTTACATGTAAAACACTGGGCAAGTTTGGAGGTGACCGTCACAGATGAGGCTTGTCATCAAAAACTCCTTTTTTAAGCTGGAAAAGTCGCGGTAAATAATTGAAAGATTAAAATACGATAAGTCTTGAGATACTTAACCATAAGCCGTGCCGTTCTAGAAACAATTTCAAATGCAATTATTCTGGGAGCATCACATCCATAAAGAGCCGGGTCTGTAGGTCTTTCGTAAGTGAAGCAATGATAGGCATTGCAACTGCTGTCATGCGCTCGGCCATAGTATCAACCTGTTTGTTTGAAAACGAAAGGATCATAATGTCAATAGGAACTAGATAAAAAACGCAAAGGTCGCTTTACTTTTTTGTTAGTTTTAAACACCCTGCATGTTGTGTACCATGATAGCCGAAAATCGCGAAACTAAACTAAACTAAACTAAGGCCGTGCGAGCATATTGTTTTGCTTTTTTTTTGCGTTATGCGGAATAATGGCATTTAAACAATCATATTTTAAAGAACACTGAAAAAACGAAATTACGTCGCAAAGCAACTTGTCCCTGCACACAATCAGTAATTGTCCATGTCCTTCAATCGATTCTAAGTATCGCAATTCTTTTTGTTAAGATATTTTTAAATCTACAAATGGAATTACCGCGTGTCCTCCGAGGGTACAGTTGCTACCAACCTCATCAAGTCTCGGTGCGATAAAAGACGATGTTCGGTGTTCAGTGGTAGCCTTAATGAAGGTATACTTTTGTTAATTAGGAGTTCTGTTGTTAATGTCTGAAAATGAAAGGAAGCAATGGAAACTTTAACCTTTAATTTAGATTTGATAAAATCTTTATAATAAGTGTATCTTTAACGTACAAACCTTCAAATACGCCTTCGTTAGAAACCGTAGAAACAGCTACCTTGGTTTGAGTACACCGATCTACAAAGTATAGGAGATAAAATGAACAGTACGCTACGTTTAAAAACATTATAAACGAGCCAAAACAAAAAAGCAGCAGAGAAAGTACAGTGGAATCAAGATTTTATGGAACATTCAAGATAAACAAAACTTTGTTCAAATAATAAGGTAGCTTTAGGAATCGGGGTAAAGTTACAGTGTTCGACTGAGGGAAGGGAAACAGAATTTCAAGGGTTCGAGTTATCAAGAGGTTCGAAAAATAGGGATTCCACTGTACACTCACATGTCGTGGCTCCGATATGGGTGGGGCAACGTGCAGCCACAATCCACTATAGTGAGATCCTTGGCCTCTTTGAAAGAAATGTCCAAACAAACGCAGTGGTACCACTCAAAGCAGGTAAGACACTGCACCATCTCATTGCGACTTGAATGTTGGGTGTTAAATCCTCGCCAAAACATGCACAAGAAAGCATCTAATGCACCACACTTCCATGGCAGAAGGGGGCATATATGGTTGAAGGTGTTTCCTTGTCCTGTAAGTGGCAGCCAGATGATGTGAAAAGGCCCCTCTTCCCTGTCTGGCTGGAAGCAACAAGGAGGACTTTGTTTTGTGTTGTACCATACAGCCCCAGACAGTTCGCAGTGCTGTTGTATTGCTTTCTTTAAAAAGCTGGCAGCAAAGGTTACCTGCAAGAGTTCTTAAAAAAAAAACTGCGGATGTCAGTATTGTAATGCCAACTTGCGTGGAGAAACGAGCTGATACCTGGTTGTAATGAGATGATAAAGATGTGGAATTGATTCAAAAGAATGAGAGCCAATCCTTAAAACGAACAAGTCACAAGTTAGTTACCTATATCAGTAAAATTCTTTAAGGCATTGAAGACTTGCCTTTAGACACTTTTTGCGACAATTTCTTGAATGGATGTCTTTAATTTCCTGAACCTCGTTTGGTGAAAGGCTCACACTGGCTGCCCACTGCAAAGCATCACCTCTATCAGTAAAATGCCTCGCATTCTGTAAAAAGAAATATGACAGAAGTACAAAGTAACTCGTTTTAAAGTTACATTGCGAATGGAATAAAATTTTTCGAAATGCAGTTTAGTTACTTCTACAGAGAGGGTAATAAGTAACTACAGGAACGGTTAACACGACACTGAGATGGCTACTACAGATATTAGTTTATTGGACAGTTGTCAAATATGATTGAAAAACGTGAGCACAAAAAATCATTGTGTAATTATCAAAAGTGATCAAAGGATTTTGGGTTTTGCAAGCAGTCCATGAAACAAATGAAGTTGATGAAAAGAAATGAATTGACATGAATGGCAGTTAGTATTTACAGGATAAAGAAAAAAATCCCAACCTTATATTGCTTGCTAAGTAATCCAAGAATATCAAAGTAGCAAATTTCTCTAACAGCTGGATTAACATATTTCTGTATAACAAGCAACCACATAAACAAGCACCTAAAGGAAGAACTAAGAAATGAGTTTTCAAAGATTAATTTAAGATTGATTTATTATGCCTCAGTCTCAGCTTTGAAAAGGAGATCCAGAGGTTGACCTCTGTTAAAGTTCACTTAAAACATAAAACAAGGACGTTTAAATTGTGCACTAATAAGCTTAGCAAACATAAGAAAAACTAACTGATTGTTCTTACTGCATCAACAATGTGGTCATAGTGAGCAAGACCATACATTGCTGCACCCAGTCTAAAAATTTCACTGTCACTTTCATGTCCAGACATGACTATGGATAGTGAATTATAGAAGCAGTTTCCATCCCCACTTGAGTAGAATGACTCCAGACCAAGCTCATAAATGGACTGGTCAACATAGCTGGAAAATCTCTAAAAGCAATAGAATATGAAGTTAATAACAACCAATACAATAAAATTTATAAATGAAAATAATGATAATAGTAACAATAATAATGATGATGATAATTGTCCCAAGTTAATAACTTTTACTGAACTTTTTACCGCTCAGGAAGTCTGCACTGATTCTCGCTGTTGATAAACTGACATGGAGAGATCTTCGGGAGATGTTCCAGGATGTGAGGAGATAAACTTAAGTTCACCTCCCAAGGCAATCTGACCATGCATCCTAAAATGTCCCTTGCAATTTGGGGCTTTATGATTGTATGGATTTCAGCCTAAGAAAGGAAAAAACACCTTGCATTAATAGGTAAATCACAAATTGGTAAACAAATAACATTCATATTTATAGTCAAAGGCTGTTAATTAACTCTCATGAATGTTTGCCCTCATGATGGATTCCTCATTAAATGCCCCAACCCTAATCATCAAGTTGAAAAAAAACTTTTTGAACATCACACTAAAGAGCTGGAATTGGCCTGGTATTAGTGGACCCTTAAACAAACAATATCCACCTTTTGGAGTTAGTAGGACCAAACTGCTTGAACATAGCCCCCTTCCCAAGCTTCTAGCTAAACAACTGGTATTAAAACTTTAGCTGACAGCTGATGAAATGACATAGAGAATGTTTAGGAATGGTAAATTCAAAACAAAATACTTGCATCCTAGACTAGATTAAATTGTGAAATAAATAAATAAAATAGTATGTTTGTTTATTTGTTTGCCACACATACATGCACAAAAAAGTAATGAACAAAATGAAGTTTAATTAATAACAGGAAGCTTACGTCTTCATCCAGTTTTCCTAGAATACTCAGCATCTTTGATGTTTGGATCTGATTCAGTTCACTGCAGGTTTGCAGTACAGATTGCCATGTATTACCACAGTAAACTGATTCACTCCCAAATTTCCTCTTTACAATGTCCTCAAATACAAGAGGAGGTTGAACGTGACCTTCAGGAGTTGCAAAGGGAGGATCAGAAATAGAAGTGGTGACAGCAGGTGTTGATGAAGGAGCAGGAGGGCAAATGAGGCTTGCAAAAACTTCAGGGGCAGATGAGGGAGGATCAGAAATAAAAGCAGAAGCTGGTGTTGATGATACAGGAATGGGAATCACAGGACTGTGAGCAGAATCATCTACTGTGATGTCAACCTCTTGAGGCTGCTGTTGTTGATTCCAATTTCTGTATGAATGCATGATTGAAATTAAATCCTCCAGATGTGGTCGCTTGCTGCTATTATTCACATCTGTGAACTCAACTTCTTCAGGCCACCAAACTGGTCTGCATGCTTCTTTCCCTCATCCAGGCTCAGATCTCCCTACATGAAAATACACCATATAAATTCTGCAAATCTACCAGAAAATTGACAGTTAGTGCTTAAATTTTTACGTTTAACAACTGCATTGCTATTCAATTTAGCACTTTAAAGAAACAAAATTGTGGGTTGTAAGATTAGAATAGACAAATTGCATAGCCTTTTAAGTACATCACCCCCAAAACTGTTTGCATTTGTGAAAAACAAACTGTTTATCCAGTTTGCTTTCTTAAATTTCTTTACGATCTTTTTTGACTGCCCTAACAACCATTTTCCTCAGATCTACCACTCTAAATTGCACAGGGTCTTCTGATGGTATAAATACCACGCGATCACGATTCTCTGGGAAAGTCTGATATGCTCATTGCAAGAAAATAAAAGAGCAATGGAAGAATGAATGCCAGCGCCGAGAAATATACTTGCTGCTTTTTACAAAATATAATAAAATCAGAACAATAACGCGTTTCTTCCCGCCATGATGAATGGGCCATTATAATATGTTGTGTATGTGTCATAAAGTGTACCAGCAGCTGGTGGTAATTTTCGTGGTTACGAGCAGTTGTGTTACCGAATACCTCCATTAACGGGTCATAAGTGCGATGGTACAAACATGGCCACCGAGTCGGGCGCTAGACATAGAGATAATGAAAATGTCTTTCGTATTACCGACGTAAAAAAAAGAAAGAAATTGTTGGGTAAGGTTCTAAAATTTCCAGAATTTAACGAAGAAGATGATTGGAGGCTCGGGATACTTCTTGATATTCATTAGGAGATATTCACTTTATTTGTAAACAGTGGATTTCCATGGAGTGACTCTACTGTGGGAGGTATTTCAAAATTTATGAAACGAAGTACAAGGTGAGCTATTACCCTGATTGGATGTAGATCAAGATATATACATACTCAAATTTGTTGAAAGGAACCATTAAGAAGATACATATACCCATGTAATCAATACAAGTTTCATTTAACATTTATGCTAACTTTCAACTCGTCCATCGATGAGTGTTGTCGCTGCTGGTGTTATGTGCTACCTAACTATGGATAAAAGGCTGGTTGAGGTATTAAAAACCATTACCTTAGCCACATATCAGCCTTTCCTTTTTTGATCGTGATTGACTTTGTGTACAGTTTTCCCACACTGTCCAAAATCATTTATTGTTTAGTGGTGTCTTTGACATGTACAAAATTTAACGAACAAAATTCAAGACTTCGCGTATACAGAACAAATGGTTCGGTCCTATGCAAGAAAAATGTAACCAAAATCTTATGGCTGAAAAAATTATGTAGTCGAATGCTGTGGAAAAAAGAAAGCAAAGTTCTTGTATGACCTAAGATCTTGTTCAAATGCTTACTGTTTTGCTTGTGAAAGATCTGGATCAGCAAAATTGGAGATTCAATCTATAGAACTGGACTTGAAGGTAGTCAGTTTCTTAAATTTTTATACTGACCTAAATTTAGTCTTTGTTGAGTCATTTGTGCATTTCATTTGGAGCAATATTGGACAAAAATCTCCCTTTTTATTCCAAGACTTATGCAAAAGTCACTGATTGGCTGAAACCTTCTTGTATACTTTTCCAGAAAGTGAAATCTCATGACTGGTATTGTGTTGCACTAAAGTTTGTCTTTTTGCTGTTGAATGACAATAAGGTGCTTTTCTTTTTGATGAGATGTTATTTAACCCTTAAACTGACTCTCAGATCAAATTTGTAATTCTCCTTTCTGTCAACCATACAATTCTTATCATGTTAACTCAGATAATTTAGTATTGAATCAACTAATTATCCCCAAATTGATATTTTTCTTAATTGTCATCACTTACCTGGTTGATATTGTATTCATATTGTAAGGAGAAATTCTGTCTTGGTCACTCATGGGAGTTAAAGGGTTAAAGAGACATAAGGTGTAGAAATTGATTACAATTAGTCAACCAGAGCTTTCAAGTCCATTTGCTGGCAAAGAGTGAGATCTCATGGGCATCATCTATCAAGGGTGGGAGGGGGAAGAGGGTATGGGGGCATGTTCCCACAGAAAATTGTGAAAAAAATGAAATAGCTGAGATGTGCATTCCTTTAATCTGAGAGAAAATTCTGTGGTTAAAAAGTGTGTGACATGAGTGCATAAGAAACAACTGAAGGAGTAAATCATATTTGGAAGGATAATTAATTTTGTAGGTACTTAATGAAAGCAGCAGTTTGCTATCGCAAATTCAACCAAATTAATACAAAACCTTAAAGGGGTGAGAAATACTGGCTGTAGCATGAGAGTGTAAGATTGAATTTGTTTGCATGAGTCTCTCACTCAATGCATGAGACTTGAGAGCTTTAAATCAACTCAACACATTTTGCATACTACAGCAATTTTTTCTGTTGTTTCTTTTATTTACCCAGTAATTTACAAGGAATTCTTCAATTCATGCCATTTATTTATTAATGGTACTGTAAATTTTTAGTGGGTAGGGAGGTTCATTGTAAAAGGAAATGACAGGATGGGGGCTGGAAGAATAAAATAACATTTCAATATTCCAAAAAGAAAAACATTTCCAAACTTGAATGTGTCTGTTCTATCTTTAGAATAATGTTCACCAACCAAGTGTCAAGCACGAAAGCAAAATCAAAAAGTAGAATTTAATACTTTTAAAATAGATGAACTGTATTTTCAAGGGGTTTAAAAACAAAGAGACAATTGTAATGCTGTAATCAATGCTGTCTCCACTTCCTTTGGTGTAAACTTCACCAATAACTTTTTTTTTTTGATAAGGAAAACCCCTTGAGGAGGCTATAACACTGTTTTAAAAAACAGCTCAACAGAATTGCCCATTACTCCTGCAAAAACAACCTCAAGTCTTTAAAGCCATCCAGAAGTACTGGTTATTAACCCTTTAACTCCCAGATCAAATTGGTAATTCTCCTTAATCTCAACCATACAGTTCTTATAATGTTAGTTCAGAGAATTTAGTATTGGATCAAATAATTGTTCTCAAATTGATATTTTTCTTTATTCTCATCACTTATGTGGTTGATATTGTATTGATGTTGTAAGGAGA